TTATTATATTAGTATTATGTAGTATTTTTTTATTATACATTTATTTTATTTTCTAATAGTTTTTATTTTTTAAGTTATTTTTTAATTTTATTATACTTTTAAAGGCCCTGTATACATAAGAAATCCCAGGAAAATTCTAATTGGAAATGAGTACATAATACAAAAAAAAAGATTAATTAATTAATTGAAATAAACTATATAATATGTAATTTATTTCAATTAATTAAATTATATTTTTTTGTATTATGTACTCATTTCATTTTCTAATAAATAATTTTTTGCATCGTCATGAAGCATTTCAGTTGAAGCATTTCATTTGAGAATGTCAAAACCATTAGGTGATATACTTTAGAATTTGTAAAAAAATTTTTTTTGTCCTTAAAAACGTTTTATAATCTTAGTTAAATGCAAAATTCCAATTAAATCTTATTCTGGGTGAACATGACAATTTGAGGGGAGTGACGACTCATTTAAACGCTTGCTAAAATCGATCTTGAATTAGAAATTTCGTCTTTTTTTCATATTAATTGGACTAAAATTTTATATTAAAAGTGCCGATTTTTTTTCCATTGATTACCACATAGATTAGAAGCAAACTTTTCTTAATAAATTCTGGAAAGAATTAAAATGATTAATTTAAAAAATCAATTTCCTTATTTACCAGATCTAAAGAAAAGTTATTATGGATGCGTCTAATTGATGCTTTGCGAAATGGAGTTTTTTCCTTAAAATGCCAATTGAAGGATATCCGCTTGAGTTGTCTGATGACTACCTTCTTAGCTAGAGCCTCGTTAATTGCCACTCAACCTCTGCATCCTCTTTATTCGCCGTTGCACACCTTCTTAATGGCCAAAACCGCTCTGGACCTAAATACCATACCGGAACTGCTACAGTTGTTGCATAGCTCGCATGTGGAGCATAATGCGCATCGATATTGGATTTTGGAGAACATCCGAGATGGTATGAAGGGAGATAACGATGTAAACGTGGCTCTGAAATGCATGTTGTTCAAAATTCTTCTTGATTTTCACACTTGCGTATTGTCGGATGCCAAGACCAAGGTGAGTTAATCTTTCATTTGATATGACATATAATTGAAAATTTATATTCTTAACATCCTTATTTTTAATATTCTTATTCTTAATATTTTCTCATTTTTTAATTCTCTAAATTTTATATTCTTAACTTTTCCCTTGTGCTTAATACTTTCTCTACTTTTATTTTATATTAGCTACAAGATTATGTAATAGATAATATACTTGATAATTACGAGAAAGCAATTTAAAAAAGAAAATCATTATCTTATCGTAATCATTATCTTAATTGTCAATAATTCATTAATACAAGATAATGAAAGATTATGAGGAAAGACTAAGAATAGGGAATTTATTTGGCTGAATTAACAATAAAAAGATTCGATTATAATGAATTAAAAATTTGAATTAAAAATTTGAATATTAAGCAGCAATCTTGATTTTTAATCAATTGATTTATGTGTATTAGGTTGCACTAACGTTACTTTGACTTTAAGCAAGACTTAAAAATTGTCTCTTAAAGTCAAAGTAACGTAGGGGCTTTCTTAAGTGGATTTGATCTGAGAAGAAGATATTTCTTCATTATAAATTTTATTATAAAATGTTCGTATTATTTATTTAAATATTGATATAAACTTTTTTTTAGAAACTAATTTTGGAAATCATCGCCTCTACTACTAAAATTCCCAAAGCATCCTTATTCCTTGCAAGAGGATATGGCATACTTCCTTGGCTGCACGAGATTGTTAATCATTCGGATATTTGTGAAGCGGAAATTAAAGTTATTATTACCATAATTGAGAATCTGTTAAATACCTTAGATAATTCGGTACAAAATATAAGTCATTACAAATCTCTGTTATTTAACATCCTTTTATTATTGCAAATGTATTTAAAGAATAGACATAAAATTTGTCCCATGTGATTGTATTTTTTTACAATAAAATTGTTCTTAAAATAAAAAAATATATATACATAAGATTTGGTATGCAAATAGAAAATAGGAAGTCCAGAGTTGGTAGTTAAATTAAGCTTCTAATGAACGTGATTTATTTATAAAATATTTATAAAATAATTTATTTATAAATAAATAAATAACTATTATAACACTTTCTTGTTAATTATCCATATAGTTAAGTTTGCAAAAACAAATTTTGAGCAAAGTATGCTATCAATTTCTGATGACAAAGAGGTAACAAATTTCACACAATCTATAATATCTGACAATGTCGGTACAAACTATTGCCAAAAATAAGACAAAACTTGCTGATATGCTTTGCCAGCAGATTGACAGATCTGCAAATCCTCAGTTTCTTCTGCTGATCTGCTGCGCGTACAAAACTTGTTCAATTTCTATTTTCAAATTGCTGTTGTATAGTATATCAGTAAACTGTCGATCCTGAGCTTAATGCGTACACAGATTGAGATATAGATATAGATCTAGAGTAGGAATCTGATCGAATTTGCTATTAATCTATCGATAAAATGTTAGCAGTTTGAATTGTAATTTTCTTTTTAATTTAATTTTCTTAATCTCATCTTTTAAAACGTAATTCGTTTTTTTTCATCTCATACGTTTTATTTTAGATTTCTATTTAATTATCGGATAAAAATTAAATATACAAACATCCGCTTCCTTATCCATTTCCTTGTTTTTGAAATATCTCAATATTAATATTACATTTACAATTTTCATTAGACATGAGTTAAACTTTTCATTCTTCCATTCTCTTATGAAAGATAAGGGATACTTAAAATTTTCCTCAAGTCTTTTAACTTCTGAAAAGTTATATACATCTTTTTTGAGATACAGTTCTTTTTGAGTTCTTTCATACAGTTTTGAGCAAGTTTTATTTTCAATGCTAAATGACATAATCCATATCTTGATTGAAAACCAATCTTCCTCGTGTTTTCCGAATAATCCTTGATTCTTCTATATTTATCTATTTCATAATGTGAAGTATATTTTCTAGCATAGCCTCGTATAGGCATCAATTTTTCATTTACATCTAAAGTGACCAGAAATTTTCAAATCTAAAGTAAGATAACTTTATTAAGCAGGAACGAAGGGATGAATATATGAATATATAGATAAATATAACAATAGTAATAGTAGTTACTTAAATGTATTATTTTTTTTAATAATACATTTAGATAATATTACCTATATATAATTGTTAAGATCATGATCCTGAGTTGTCTCCAATAAATTTTAATCGCTTGTAATTC